CTTTAGAAGACTGGAGGGCTTTTTCACACTGTAACCCTAAATCATTGCAGAAAATTGGAGAAGGATCATGTAAGGACATTTTGGGGCTGTGTGCTTTACACAGGTGGTGGTGTGGACGATGGCTGGGATGATGGAGAATGAAAATTGTGAGCTCTGTGTGCAGCGCCTCAACTGCCATCTCACCTTGATTTTAGGAGAAGGTCCAGAACCTTTTTAGCTCCCGGAGGTCAAGATCGTTACGTACATTCATCATCATCATGGCTTTTCTGTGATCCCTGAACAATAAACGCATGAAGTACTCAATTTCTAATTGAAGTAGATTTAAACAGGGGGCTTTGTTCTCTTTGCTTCTAGCTTACTCCAGGCTTCTGGGCCTCTCTTTATTTTCAGTTTCTGTTTTTCTTTTGAAAGAACATCCCATCCTGATAACATCCAGTAGGCTGCAGCTGTCCAGTTATGCAGGGCATTTCATGTCTGGTCCCATAGACTGAAATCCAGCTTGAAGTCAGTTTACCAATTAAGGCATTTGCCCTGTTCGGGTGGCATCCACCTAGAGGAAGGAAGGAAAGCCTTTTATTTTATTTTATTTTATTTTATTTTATTTCTCACAAAAGTCCAGTGTGGTGTAGTCCTACCTCTGTTCGGCCAGCTGACGCTCTCCTCTCTGTGAGGACAAAACTGAAATATGCAAGATGTTAGAAAGCACCGCCCAGCTGAGCTCAGGCATGTATTATGTGAAGTCGCAAACCCCTTCATGTGCTTTTCAGTCCCCGTACTGCCTCTCCTTTTCCTTATCCCTGAAAGGAACTATTTTTAGTTCCAGGTGTTGGAACTACTGTGATTCAGAACCTTTCAGTCACTTTCTTTAGAATGCTGATGAGTCAAAACCAGAATGAAACAAAACTTGAAAATATTTTTATAACAGCGTTTAATGAGTACCCATTTACAAAAGCAGTCATCTCTTAACATGGGAAAATGTACAAAAAGAAAAGGTCTACAAGCTTCATAAAAGGTTTCCTAGAATACAGGGAACACACCAGCGATGAGAAGGTTTAGTCTGCCTTTTTAATGTTAGAAGAACAGTTTGGACCTGTTGAGAAGAACATGGTTCACTCAACATGCCTATTTCCATCTGTTCCAAACTCATTCTTCCCATCTTGCATAAACTAGAGGAGTCAGCCGTGTT